AAGGAGAAGAAGAGGAGCAAGGAATAGAGAACCTCCTCGAAAAAGTAATGATGGAAAATTTCCCTAATTTGAGGAGAGAAAGGCTCTCATGGATCCAGGAGGCACAGAGGACCCCACTCAAGAGGGACCCAGGGAGGTCCACTCCAAGACACATCATCATTAAAATGGCAAATGTCAAAGACAAAGAGAGAATCCTCAAGGCAGCAAGGGAGAAGGAGAAAGTAACATACAAGGGGGCCCCGATACGCCTAGGAGCTGACTTCTCAACAGAAACAGTACAAGCCAGAAGGGAATGGCAACAAATATTCCAAGCCATGAAAAGCAAGGGCCTACAGCCAAGGCTGCTCTACCCAGCTAGGCTCTCCATTAAAATAGAAGGAGAAATACGGAGTTTCCCAGACAAAAGAAAGCTAAAAGAATACATCTCTACCAAACCAGCACTCCAAGATCTGCTAAGGGGACTGGTTTAAGCAGATGAAGGAAAAGAATGAGACAGAGAGGAACACAAGTACAAAGAGAAAAGATGAGTAAGTTTCTATCAGTAATAACTCTCAATGTGAATGGACTAAATGCCCCAATCAAAAGACACAGGGTAGCTGAATGGATAAGAAAACATGACCCACACATATGCTGCCTACAAGAGACCCACCTCAGAGCAAAAGACCTACACAGATTGAAAGTAAAGGGATGGAAAATAGTATTCCAAGCAAATGGACATGAGAAAAAGGCTGGTGTTGCCATACTTGTATCAGACAAAGTAGATTTCAAAGCAAAGGCCGTAAAGAGAGACCCAGAGGGGCACTTTATCATACTTAAAGGAAGAATCTATCAAGAAGACATCAACATTGTAAACTTATATGCTCCCAATATAGGAACCCCCAAGTTTATAAGGAAAGTGTTGGATGACTTCAAAAAAGATATAGACAGCAACACACTGATAGTAGGGGATTTCAACACCCCACTGTCAAAAATGGACAGATCTTCCAAACAAAACATTAATAAACATATTGTGGCGCTGAATGACACACTGAATCAAATAGACTTAACTGACATATATAGAACCTTACATCCCAAAGAAGAAAAATACACATTCTTTTCAAATGCTCATGGCAGTTTTTCAAAGATAGACCACATGATAGGACACAAAGCAAGCCTCAGCAAATTCAGGAAAATTGAAATAATACCAAACTTTTTCTCAGACCACAAGGCCTTGAAACTCCAAATCAACCTCAAAGAGAAACTTCAAAAACTTGTAAACTCATGGAGACTGAACACTACACTATTAAACAATGAATCGGTCAATAATGAGATAAGAGAAGAAATCAAAAAATTTCTGGAAACAAATGAAAATGAACAGACAACAGTCCAAAACCTATGGGACACAGCAAAGGCGGTCCTGAGAGGGAGTTCATAGCAAAACAGGCTTACCTAAAAAAGATAGAAACATTTCAAATAAAAGACCTAACACTACAACTTCAAGAACTGGAGAAACAACAACAAATAAATCCCAGAGCAAGTAGAAGGAAGGAAATAGTCAAGATTAGAGCAGAACTGAATGACATAGAGACAAAAAGGACAATTCAGAGGCTCAACCAATCCAGAAGCTGGTTCTTTGAAAAGATTCATAAAGTTGACAAGCCTTTAAGCAGACTCATCAAGAAAAAAAGGGAGAGGACCCAAATTAATAATATCAGAAATGAAAGAGGAGAAATAACAACTGATACCACAGAAATACAAAGGATCATCAGAAACTATTATGAACAATTATATGCCAAGAAATTTGAAAATCTTGATGAAATGGACAAATTTTTAGAAAAGTATAATCTTCCAACACTGAAGGAGGAAGAAACAGAAAGCTTGAACAGACCGATAAAGCTGGGGAAATTGAAGCAGTCATCAAGAAACTCCCAGCACACAAAAGCCCAGGGCCAGACAGTTTCCCAGGAGAATTTTACAAAACATTTAAGGAAGAGCTAACCCCTGTCCTTCTCAGAGTATTCCAAAAAATCCAAGAGGAGGGAAGACTCCCAGACTCCTTCTATGAGGCCAGCATCACCCTGATCCCAAAACCAGATAAAGACCCTACAAAGAAAGAAAACTACAGGCCAATTTCGCTGATGAACATAGATGCTAAAATCCTCAACAAAATATTGGCAAACCGCATCCAGCAATACATTCAAAAGATTATCCATCACGATCAAGTGGGATTCATCCCAGGGATGCAGGGATGGTTCAATATACGCAAATCAGTAAACGTGATACACCACATAAATCAAAGAAAAGACAAAAACCACATGATCATCTCGACAGATGCAGAAAAAGCATTTGACAAGGTCCAGCACCCATTTATGATCAAAACACTCAGCAAAATGGGAATCAATGGGGCATTCCTCAACCTAATAAAGGCCATATATGAAAAACCGACAGCCAATATCATACTCAACGGGCAAAAACTGAAAGCGTTCCCACTAAGATTGGGAACACGACAAGGATGTCCGCGCTCACCGCTTCTTTTCAACATCGTATTGGAAGTCCTAGCCACAGTGGTCAGACAAGAGAAAGAGATAAAAGGCATCCAAATAGGAAAGGAGGAAGTAAAGCTATCCTTGTTTGCAGATGACATGATAGTGTACATAGAGAACCCTGTAGACTCCATCAAAAAACTCCTCAACCTAATAAGTTAATTTGGCAAAACAGCAGGATACAAAGTCAACATTCAGAAATCAAAGGCGTTTTTGTACACCAGCAATGCAATAGAAGAAGAAGAAATCAGGAAAAATATACCATTCGATATAGCACGAAAAAAGATAAAGTACCTAGGGATAAATTTAACCAAAGACACAAAGGACCTGTATGCAGAAAATTCTACAACATTGAAAAAAGAAATTAAGGAAGACACAAATAAATGGAAGCATATACCGTGCTCATGGATTGGAAGAATTAATATCCTCAAAATGTCCATACTACCCAAAGCAATTTATAGATTCAACGCAATCCCTATTAAGATACCAATGACGTATTTCACAGAAATAGAACAGACATTTCAAAAATTTATATGGAACCATAAACAACCTCGAATAGCCGCAGCAATTCTGAGAAAGAAACAGAAAGTAGGAGGGATCACAATACCGGACATCAAACTCTACTACAAAGCCACTATACTCAAAACAATCTGGTACTGGCACAAGAACAGACCCATAGACCAGTGGAACAGAATAGAAAGCCCAGAAATAAGCCCAGGTCTCTATGGACATCTAATATTCGACAAAGGGGGCAGAAGCATAAAATGGAGCAATAAGAGCCTCTTCAACAAATGGTGTTGGGAGAGCTGGACGGCTACATGCAAAAAATTGAAATTGGATCATCAGCTGACACCATACACAAAAATAAACTCAAGATGGATAAAAGACTTAAATATAAGTCGCAACACCATCAAAGTCCTCAAGGAGAACATTGGCAGGAAACTCTCAGATATCCCACACAGCCATTTTTTCACTGATATGTCTCCTAAAGCAAGGGACATAAAGGAAAGAATAAACAAGTGGGACCTCATCAAAATAAGAAGCTTCTGCACGGCTAAAGAAAACATCAGCAAAATGAAAAGGGAGCCAACCATTTGGGAAAATATATTTGCTAATGATACATCAGATAGAGGTTTGATCTCCAAGATATACAAAGAACTCACTCGACTTCAAGAAGACAAACGATCCAATCAAAAAATGGGCAAAGGACCTGGGCAGATGCTTTTCTAAGGAGGAGATACAGAGGTCCCAGAGGCATTTGAAAGGATGCTCAGCATCACTAGCCATCAGAGAAATGCAGATCAAAACCACCATGAGGTACCACCTCACACCGGTCAGAATGGCCATCATAAACAGATCCACAAACAACAGGTGCTGGCGAGGCTGTGGAGAAAAGGGAACCCTAGTCCACTGTTGGTGGGAATGCAGACTGGTGCAGCCACTATGGAAAGCAGTGTGGAATTTCCTCAGAAAGCTGAAAATGGAACTGCCTTTTGATCCAGCGATTCCCCTGCTGGGACTATACCCTGAGAACACCAAAACGCCCATACAAAAGAACCTATGCACCCCAATGTTCATAGCAGCACAATTTACAATAGCCAAGTGTTGGAAGCAACCTAAATGCCCATCAGTAGATGACTGGATCAAAAAATTATGGTACATATACACAATGGAATACTACGCAGCAGAAAGAAAAAAAGAAGTACTAAACTTTACGACAGCATGGATGGAACTGGAGAGCATCATGCTAAGCGAAATAAGCCAGGGGGCGAAAGACAAATACCATATGATCTCACCTATAAGCGGAACCTAACTAACAATGCAGAGAAGCAAGTAAAATATGACCAGCAACACTGAAAGGAAAAGAAATCAACAGAGACAAGAGGGAAGGGGGGGGGGCAGGGAAAGGGAAGGGAAGGGGAAAGTCAAGGAACATATAGCAAGGACTCATGGACAAAACCAAAGGGGAAGAGCTGAGGGAGGGAAGGTGGGAGGGGGCAAGGGAAAGAGGTCGGGGGAAGGCAGAGACAAATGTATTTAAAAAGTAAATAAATTAATTAAAAAAAAAAAAGATAGTGCTATCATACCATCTACCTTTCAAGAAACCAAGGCACAGAGAGGCTAAGTCACTTTCCCAAGGTTACATGTCTTATTACTTGTAGAGTTGGGGAATGACTGAGGACAATTAAATTTCAAAAGAAGTTATATATTTTTAAATGTGCTTGTTAGTCAAATGTAAAACTAATAGCTGGAATTCATCAAAGTGTAAGAAAGTGAACTAAAAAAAATCAGTAATAGTCCCCTGAGATTTCTGCCATTCTTTTTCTTCCTCGAAGTGGGTGAGGACTTTCGTGAAGGTGACACCAATAAAAGGACACTGAACAGGGACCTGGTCATTAGCATAGAACTTGTTACTATTTGTTTTGAAATCTCCTCTAGCTTTTCTCATTCCTGGTTGTGTTTTATTTATTTCTCTAGGCTAAGGTGTCTTCCATGATGTTCCAAGTGCAAGGTGCCCAAATGCTTCGGAAGCTGGAGGGATTCTTGAGGAAGAGCCTTCCTGAATCCCTTAAGGTGAAAATGGATGTGCAAAAGCTTTTTAGTTTGATGTAGTGTCATTTGTTTATTTTTTGCTTTGTTTCTCTTGCCTAAAGAGATATATCTGCAAAAATATTGCCATGAGAAATGTATGAAATTCTACTGCTTATGTTTTCTGCTAATACTTTTAAGGTTTCATACCTTAACATTTGAGCCTTTAATCTATTTTGAGTTTAAATTTATTCTTGTGTATTGTGTTAGTTGGTGGTCTGGTTTAATTTTTTTGTTTTTGCATGTATCTGTCCAATACTCCCACACCATTTATTGAAGAGACTGTCTTTACCCCATTGTATGTTCTTGCCTCCTTTTTGAAATAATAATTGACCATAAAGTCATGGGTTTATTTCTGTTCACTCTATTCTATTTCTTTAATCTATATGCCTATTCTTGCTCCAATACCATGCAATTTTCATTACTATGATCTTGTATTATAGTTTTATACCAGGTGGCATGATTCCCCATTTTTGTTTTTCTTTCGCAAGATTACTGAGGCTATTCAAGGTCTTTTGTGGTTCCATGTAAGTTTTTGAAATATTTGTTCTAGATCTGTGAGATATGCCATAGATATTTTAATAGGAATTATGTTGAATTGATAAACTGCTTTCAGTAGTATGATATTTTAATTATGTTAATTTGTCCTATCCATAATGATAACATATGTTTTCACTTATTTGTATCTTCCTCATTTTCTATCTTCAGTATCTTACAATTTTCTGAGTACAGGTCTTTTACCAAGTACAGAAATTTTACTTTTAGGTAAATTTATCACTAGGTACCCTATTTTTGGCTGGGCAACTAGAGCTGGGCAAAGGGGGGAAATTGGGACAGAAAGAGACTTTGTTTGGGGCGATGGAGATATGATGCAGGGTACAGATGAGGTTTTCCTGAGTTGTACACTTAAATCCTATATGATTTTGTGACCCAGTATCACCCCAATAAATTCAATTAAAAAAAGCATTAGTGACTTCCAAAGAAAGTAGCAGTTCAAAATTTTGAAGGGAGTAAGGAATAGAAACTTCCTGTGAAAAAAGAAGAAAAATAATTAACATTTATTGAGCCCTAATTCTGTGCCAGGCACTATACATAACATTTGATTTGCATTTGCTCCAGACAAGATATTTGTTAGTATGTCCATGTCACTGATGAAAAGATGGAGGCTCAGTTAATGATTTGTCCAATATCACACAAACGGTGAACTTGCAACGCTTGGTGTGATTACAGGTATGCCTGACGCCTAACACTGCCTTTAGTTCTGTGCTCTGTGATTCAAAAAGCGTTCCCTTGTTCCTTTCCAAGGAACGTCTCAGCATAACACTGAAAACTTGCCCAGAGTTCTCTTCTAAACTTGAGACTCCATATTACAGTTTAATTTGCTCTCCCTAAAAGATTGCTTTGCCAGGTAAGAAATTAACAATCATCATGTCTTCTAAATGCCTACATCCAGAACTGCACAAGAGCAACTCTGATGATACAGCTGGGTCATTGTTTGCGCTTTTCTTTAGCAATCAAAGGGATAGCATCCTCTCCAGTAGAACCTAAGCGGAACTCTGTGTATGTGTATTTCGAAAACAATCCTTTTCCCTGAAACTTTTTTTTGTAGAAATACAAACTAGTTTTATAAGACATCCATTGAAGATGTATACATTTTAGGTAAGATAAGTGCACTTACCTCCCTCATTTCCTAGTAAGTTCACTGTACTCTTCTTTCAGTATAAAGAAAATATTTTATTTACATTATTTTATTTGTAGGATCCATTGGTTTCATTTTGATTTATTAGAGTTAGACTACTGACATCATTTTTTGTTCTTTACTACCAAAAATAAATGGCTTCAAATCAGCTAATCTAAAAGTAAATTCACCGCTTTGGTAGATCCTGCTGACATTAGTCTGTATTATGTACTGTTTAACTGCTTTTAATTGGTAATCCTTGAGTCTCTGGCAACCTCTCAGAGAGACAGTCTGATCTTCTAGATGTTATATCAGTTGTCTACAGACATTTGCCTAAGACATTTTTGTATGTTGAGTAGCTATTTTTGAAAATTCTTCAGGCTAAATGTTTTTCTTTCATGCTCTACATTGTAGAATTTTGTGATTTCAGTGTCTCTTTACTCCTTGTGTTAAGTGGACCCCAAACATTTGCGAACACTCTTGGTGCTTCCCAGCTATCCTCTCTTGGGTAATCTCTTATGGTTAGATAAGGAGGCCCTTTTGACGCCTCCACTTTCATGAAGGAGTAGTGTTCCTCTTTCTAGGGTGAATACTACAGACATCCTTTTCCCTTATTGAACCTAGATATTTGTATGCCAGGTACTCTCAAGAGAGGTATAACTTAGAACTCAACACTTACTTGCATCTCTGCTGAGGAAAAGTTCATCCATATTTCTAATGTTTAATATTAAATACATTTTATCACATCTGTCACCTTCACTGGAGTCAGTTAAGAGAAGATGCCTGACTTACTATGTTCTGAGTTCAGCAGAAAAGTAAACAGTTTTAATGAATTAGGCCATGGGAATAAGGAACAGTAGCAGTTCTACTTATTTTGCTAAACTACACTGAACTTCTATATCAAGCCTCCACTGATAAGCTGAACACAGGACAGACTCAGAGAAATTCAGTCAGTTTAGAGAGATTGATTCCCTTTCTATCTTCCTTGGTCTAACATCAATAGCTCATGTGGGAGGAGGGTGGCAGAAGGGAAGGATGCAGGTACAGTCCTTAGACACCTTCTGTCCATGGCGAAAACCATTCAAGGGTATATATACCATCTGCTGGGTCTTAGTCACTGGCATGTTTTCATGCTGTCACCTGTGCAGCCTTCATGTGTCCAGTTGTCCTGAGGCCCATATTGGTACCCTGTGCTGCATCCGCCAACCCCAAAACAACAAGGTAATTGATGTTCACAGTCTCGATCTCATTCGTTCCCTCCTCACTCCTCCCTCTCTCCTGTAGCTTGCACAACACGGTCAGGGTGGAGATCCAAGGTTGGTCCCAGGCTGTGGGACCCCATAGCCCATTGTCTTGAGCACTATGCTGCAGTCTCTGCTTGTTGGTGCGAGTTCAGTTAACTTTCCCAGAGGATAATATAGACATAGTGTGAAAGAGCTTTAAATATAACCTTTATGCTTAATGTGAGTTGGGGTGATTCTAAAAAGTAAATTCATAATACTAGCAAGTACCCTTCTGTATAACCCAAGAAAATAGCAGGTGCCCATGCATGGACTTCTGTTCAAACTTGTTCTATAAAGAATTATTTGTTAAAGTGAAAAATTGGAAACAGCTGAAATGACCATCAACAGGCAAATGAATAAATGAAAATGTGACATATTCATCTAATGGCATCCTACGCAGCCATTAGAAAATAACAGAAAAGATTTGTGTTTATGATCATGGAAATGTGTCCACTGTATATCCAGTGGGGGGAAAACACTATACATCAGATTATTTTATTTTTGTAGAATTGGTGTTTCTGTGTGTATGAATAAGACAAAGTGTGCAAAAACATAAGATTAACTCCTAAAATAAAGAGCAGTGTTCTTAAAATCATTGATTCCACTGTCCAAAATTCTAGTATATGCAACTATGATTCATATTGGGAGAGAAGAATAAGCTCTCCTCATTTGAGGTTAAAAAGAGTGGTACAGGAAGATAGACCTAGATGCCCTATTCAGCCTTCTAACACCATACAATTTCATGACTTCATAGAAATAATCCTTGTCCTGATCAAACAGAGCTCTCTGCCCACCTCTTCCTATAAGCTGACACTCTCACTTTCTCATGATGTTACAGGTTTATGGGACCGTCTTCCACATGAACAAGGGAAACCCTTACAAACTAAAGGCTCTGGTAGACGAGTGGCCTGATTTTAATACAGTGGTGGTCCGCCCTCAGGAGCAGGTAAGGTGCTAGGCGTAGAATGCATACTCTTCCGTTTGCTGTCTGTGCCAACCATGCACCTGACAAGGTAGATCCAGGACACAGAAGTGAGTCTCAGTGATGGCGAACAAGTCCTTGTGCTCCAGGAGCTCACAGCCCGGAGGAAAAGATAGATAAGCAAGTAAAGTACAATTCAGTGCAAAGTGTGTAAGAACAGAAGAGGCGCAGTGTGCAGAAATGGCACAGACAAAGGCTGATTCAACTAAGGAGGCTGAAGATGGCGGTCAGAGGGTAAGGTTAGAGGGACAGCTCCATGGAAGGTCACTGGAACTGCATTTTGTAGGTGATTATATTTTTGTTAGGCTGACAAGGACAGGAGGACACAGCAAGGGCAGAGTAGGAAGGTGTGACACAGGACAGTGGGTTAGGGTAATTCCACAAAGCCAGTTCAGAATGCTAGGATTTCCACATACATTTGGGAGAAACGTTTACAAGTTAGCGCAACTCAGTTTTAAAAACAAAAATTCTAAACTCACTTTACAACGTCCAGTGAAACTATAAAATTGTGTTAATGCAAATAAGTCTATACCTTTCAGACAAATAAAAATTATTACACTACGCAGCAGAAAGAAAAAAAGAACGACTAAACTTCGCGACAGCATGGATGGAACTGGAGAGCATTATGCTAAGCGAAATAAGCCAGGGGGCAAAAGACAAATACCATATGATCTCACCTCTAAGCGGAACCTAACCAACAATACAAAGCTGCAAGGAAAATAAGACCAGCAACACTGAAAGGAAAAGAAATCAACAGAGACAAGAGGGAAGGAGGGAGGGGGGCGGGGAAAAGGAAGGGAAGGGGAAAGTCAAGGAGCATATAGCAAGGACTCATGGACAAAACCAAAGGGGAAGAGCTGAGGAAGGGAAAGAGGGAGGGGGCAAGGGAAAGTGGTGGGGGTAGGCAGAGACAAATGTATTTGAAAAAATAAATTAAAATAAAATTTAAAAAAAAGAAGAAAGGAAAAAAATAAAAAACAAAAAAATTATTATAAACCACTAAACTAAATAATACATAAAATAAGGAAATTTATATTAATAATAAATATGGAAATGAAGTTATAAAACAAATAAAATTATTTTATCTTTGCCCTTACATGTGACTTTAAAAGTATCATTGTTGACTCATGCATCTATTTTGAACATTTTCTAACTATTTAAAAGACTTTCTAATTCTGCACTAGTTGTGGTAGTATTTCCTGCACCTCCTTCTTCCTAATAATCTCATTTGTTATTTAATAATATAAGAGAATCTTTCTAAATAAGTGGTTTCACATTATTCTGAAAGTACAATTTGTTTAACGATAGTATTGCTTTAAGAAATCACTTCTAACCAGTTTTCAACTTCTTTGGCTTCATTATGTACAGGTGGAGATTTTAATCCAGAATTCTGTAACCAAATTTAACACAGTCATGTTCATAGTTTTGTGCTCAGCAACTATTTGAACTGTAGTTAAATTTTTTCTTGCAACAAAAGCTTTTCCTTATCAATTGTTTGCCCCTTCTTCCTATTGAGGATGGTAGAAATATAGAAATGTGCTTTCTAAATACTTGTGTCTTTGTTTGATTGAAACTTTTAATGCAATATGTGGGTAGATAATAGTATTGTTCTTCCATTTTACATCATAGATTGAATACTAACATCTCATCTGTATCTCATGATTTAATGATTCAGAAATAATGGTAATTCATCAATAAAAATATTAATGTTTTAGTACTTAAAAATATCATGTGTAAAGGAGTTGAGAAAAAAAACTATTGCAATCATGAACTGCATGGAATTTGCTTCATTTCCCTTTCCCCCATACAACAGGAGATGGTGGATGACTTTGATTGCTACACCAATACTTACCAAATCTACTCCAAGGACCCTGGGAACTGTCAGGAATTGCTCGGCTCACCAGGAGTCATCAACTGGAAACAGCATTTGCAGATCCAAAGTAAGTAAGAAGCATGGGAAGTGTGCTGACTCACTCTCTGTCTTGAACAATTTCCCTTATGGCTCGTACCTCCCTTCTCCATACTCCGGCCCCTCAGGCTGTGTTCAACTTTTTGACTCAGCTGCAACTATACCTGTAAAGGGATAAAAACACCCTCAAAGCTTGCAGACAGTGGGCTTTCTATTGGGAAACATAATATAATGCCTTGATGGCCAAGAATTTATGGCATACTTTGCAGACATATCCAGGATGCCTTATGTTGATTGGGTGCCAGAGCAGAGCTTCCCTGAGGGCCTTCCATGCCTGGAATTAGAATGACAACTTGTGCCACACAGTACCTCCCAGGTCATGAAGGACAACTGTCATGGTTATGAGCATGCCCTCCGGAATCAGACTTCCTAGGATGACATTTGTCTGTTACTTGCTATGTAATCATAGCCACATGACTTATTCTTGCTGAGATCATATATATGAGGATAATAATGGTACCTAAAACACAAGGGGTGTTGAAAAGGTTAAACAACCACCTGGCCTATTTCGCTTAGCATAATGCTCTCCAGTTCCATCCGTGTCCCAATGAAACTGGAGAGCATTATGCTAGGTGAAGTAAGCCAGGCGGTGAGAGACAAAGACCATATGAGCTTACCTATAAGTGAACCTAATCACCAAAACAAGCAAGGGAGCAAAATAGAACCAGAGACATGGAAATGAAGAAGAAACTGACAGTGACCAGAGGAGAGGGGGGAGGGGGATAACAGGGGAAGGGAGAGCAAGTGTGGTCAAAGAATATGTACAAAGGACAAAGAGAACGGAGGTGGGGATGGGGTGGATGTGAGAGGTGGGGCTGGGGAGGGCAGGGGGAGAGTAATGAGGGGAAGACGAGGTCAACTGTAATTGAACAACAATTTAAAAAAGAAAAAATTAAATAAAATCCTGAATAGGAATTGCTCAGCACAATACCTGAAAGTGTCCGTTAACTTTCACTGCACAGCAAACCTCATAATTCTGTGAATCAGCATTTGGGCTGGGCTTTGCAAGGCCCTTCTGCTGCTGCTGCACTCGCCCGGGTTCACTCTCGCAGCTGCAGCCTGTTCATGGATGGGCTACGGGCTGGTTGCTCTGGTGTGGCCTTGCTCACTTGCCCAAATGATACTCTGACATTGGTGCCAGCTGCTACGGTGACACCATGATCAGAGCCCAAGTCCTCAGCAGGCTAGTCGGAGCCTGTTCATCTGGTGTTAGTCTCAAGGTAATCAAGAACGCAAAGAAAGGGCAACCCCAATGTGCAAGCATTATTTAGTATACCTCTCCTTGCATCCAACTGACTGTTTCCCATTGGTGAAAGGAAGCCATACGGCCAAGGTCAGATGCAGTGCAGGAGGGGTCTGTTCCAGGGAATGGAAAGAAAGGCATGGGCAAATTGGGGCCATTCCTGGAGCAATCTACCACACTGGGTACATAGTAGGTGCACAACAGGTGATGGCTACTCTTGTTTTTATAACTCATCTCATGCAATTATCAAAACTGCATGATCGCGTAGATGGCTACTCTTGTTTTTATAACTCATCTCATGCAATTATCAAAACTGCATGATCGCGTAGCCCAGAAATCTTGGTTCCAGTCCTGGTATTGCCAGAAATGCTATGACCATGGCTGAATGAAGTCCCAAGCATGTTCACTGCACAAATCCTCACTAGGTGACCCCGGTCACACAGCAGCGGCACCAAGCCAGAACCAAGGGTTTTGGACTGTAAATACAGACCCTTCCTACTCCACTGGACAGCTTCTGCATAGAATGTACTGAAATCATTGCATCTCTCCTTAAAATCCCATCTAGGTTCACAGCCCAGCCTGAATGAGGTGATACAAAATCTTGCAGCCATGAACTCCTTCAAAGTTGAACACACACAGTGTTTTCTCTATGCAGCGCTTGACTCTGTAAAGACGCTGATGCCTTCCCTGTTGGATACAAAGAACGTACCACCTGGTGACGGCAAACCCAAGTCCATGTAAGTCTGATAAAAGTCACTGCACCACTCACACCTCTCATTCCTGAATCAGCCTCCCAACTTCTCTTCCTGCTTCCACTCTGGCCTCCCTACGGTCACTATTCTTCTCAGCAGACAGAATTATCATTTTTAGAAGTGTCATTTGAACGATAGAAATAAGAACAAATATAATAAATGCTCATAGATTTTACTTTTCTCTCGGAACTGCCCTAGCAATGAAGAAATGTTTAAACTCTCATCCCTGGATGTCACCCACGCTGCCCTGGTGAATGAATTCTGGCATTTTGGTGGCAATGAGAGGAGCCAGAGATTTATCAAGCACTGCATCCAGAACTTTCCCAACTTCTGTCTGCTGGGACCCGAGGGAACCCCCATCTCCTGGAACCTAATGGACCAGACAGGAGAGATGCGGATGGCAGGCACCATCCCTGAGTACCGGTGCCAGGGCCTCATCTCCTATCTCATCTATAACCAGACCCAGGCTCTGAACAAACTCGGCTTCCCCCTATATTGTCACGTGGACAAGAAGAACAAAATTATGCAGAAAGTAATTTACAAGATGCAATTCATCTGCATGCCCTGTTCCTGGAACCAGTGGCACTGCGTGCCTCTGTGACGTGTCAGATGGGCTCGGGCTTGTGGCTCAAACAGGGGGTGGGTGGGGAAATGGTCCACCACAGTGATCTCTGCACTCATATCACCCACTGATGGGCTTCCTTGAGATGTCTCAGTCTGGAGCCTTCCCAAGTACGCCACATCATTTAGTTCCCCACACTTCCGGGGATCTCCATGACACTTTCATCAGCTGCATGTTGTCCCAAAAGGCTTCTCCTGGACCTCCTAGTGCATGAATCAGTAGAGCCTTGCCAAGTTTCCCAGGAAGGGTAATACTTCCTGGGCATTATGACTTATTCCTTTCTTTTTCTATGGTTTTTCTCTTCATAATCAGCAAGTGGACTCTGCTCATGAGGTCTGTAGAGATTATCCTCTTCTTGACTGCTTCTTTGTCAGTACGTGAAACAATAATACACAAATATATATGAAATATTAAGTTAATCATAGTGTACATAATAGAGCGGGGAGAGTTACTAAGAAACAGACTAACCATATTTGTCTGTCCCCTCCTCACTCCACACCAGGGAAAATGATTATTGTTTCCACAAGCAGAGCTTCCTAAATCCATCCAAACGCCCAAACAATAAAGAGACTTTGTGTTTGATTATACAAGTTGAAGTCAAGTGGTTCATGATGGGAAGAGCCTGGGGTGAATTTATGGAGGGTGGGAGGACCCAGACCCAAAGAGGTGGGTGTTTATTGAGAAGAGATGAAGTTGAGGGGGAGGGCAGTGCAGCAGGGGTACCCACTGTTTCATTTGACCTTGGCACATTGTTTCAGGATGCCTGAAGTGCAGTTCAGACAATAGTCTCAGGGGAGAGTCTGGTTGGTGGTATGGAGAGATGGCTTTCCTGGTTGAAACAGAGTAACAAGGAGAGTTTCCTGCCCCAGCATTTCAGGAGAAACAGCACTGCACCTCAGCACTATGCAACAAAGAAAGCACTGGACTGAAGGCAGTCACCTGCATCAAGAACCTGTTCCCTTTTGGTCCATCTGTGTCTGGAATTAGCCTATGGGATTGAGGATGAAGCCCCCACAGACAGAAACACTAATGACCAAGCTTTAACTTTCTGGCCAGTCAAGAGAAGGGAAGCTCAGTTTAGAGCGGGACTTCTCAACCTGGGTACAACGGGCACTTTAGAGTGGACAGTCCCGTGCATGCATAGGCTGTGTAGCAGCATCCCAGCCCTCTACCCACTGGATGACTACTAAACGTGCCTCCAGCTCTTGGGAACACATCCCCTGAAGGCAAAATCGCCTCTGGTTGAGAACGCAGGTTTAAGAGTGGAGGTCCCCCCATTTGTGGGTGCATCAGAGTTACTCAGAGGGATTGTTGACACAGAATGTGGGCCTCGTCTCTAGGTGATCTGGTTCAGTAGATTTGGAGCAGAGTCAAGAATTCACATTTCTAACAAGTTTCCAGGTGGTCCTGATGCTGCTGGTCCAGGAACCATCCTTAGGAGACCACCGGTTTGGAGAAATAATAGGACACATTCCCCAAAGCTATGGATGAAAATTCATATAGTACACTACTTACGTGTATTGTTTTACTTTATTAGTTATAATGTAAGTTTGTGTTCTAATATATTTGGGATATTTTATTTAAAAATTTTTTAAATAAAATGCCCATTCAATATTATTTTAACCCTAGTTCAGATGTTTAGCATTGTGGTTAGATGTTTAGACAGTGGTTCGCATAGTGGTTGTAATATAATATACATATCATATTATATATTACATATCATTATTATTGTTGTTGTAAAGGGTAAAAGTATATATATAATTTATTTTCTGTATGTATATAATTTTTTAACTTCCTAGACAAGGAAGCCGCTGGGACAGGCAGCAGCTGCGGTCGGTGCTGCCCTCTGCTGGTAGGTGCTGTCAATGCAGAGAAGAACACTCCCAGCTTCCAGAGGAAAACCTGATCACCACTTAGGGGAGACTTTTACTTTATAGGAACTAGGTTTTTTTAAACAAGGCAGAAAAGTGGGCTAAGAATAGCGTGAGGACTGACTGTGGAATGGGAGGTGGAATTGGTGGAGGAGGGCAAAGAAGTAAAATTTGGGACAACTGCGATGGAATGACAAAAAGAATTTTTTTAAAAAAGAACGTAGCTAAAAGTCTGTACCATAAACCAAGAACGGGAAAAGCCGCGCCCTTCTTCACTTAGCTCCGTTACACTTCCCCCTGTGGTTCTACCTTCATATCTCCTCAGTGATAGTGCGGCCTCTACCAGGTAAACCGTAACCCGGGGACTTTAAAGATTAAGGCACAAATACCATATGACCTCACTTGCATCTGTAGTATAATGAACACAATAAACCAATGAGCGAAATAGAAACAGAAGCATAGATACATGCCACAGACTGACAGCTGCTGGAGGGGAAGATTGGGGATCGGAAGAAAGAAGGTGAGAAAATTAGCCAAAGAACATATAAGCGGGACTCTTGGACCCTTGGACACAGACTCCTACATGGGGACTGCGTGAGGGAGAGGGGCTGGGTGGAGGGGGGCAAAGGGAGAAAACATGAGGACAACTGGAATAGCATAAACAACTAACAACAATTTGAAAAGATCAAAAGTGATGGATTCCTCCCAGGATAGTGGTTTTATGTCTCTAGGTAATGCATTGGATCTAGGTAATGCATTGGGATGGGTGGACTCTATATCACAAATATTTCGGACCCTTAATGGAAAAGAATTTTTTGATCTCACCAAAAATTCCTGATCTCACCAAAAATTTCTGGTCTCACCTAAAAAGGCCATCTGGCCCTAGAAAAGGTTGAATTCCTAGAATACTCTTCAGGAGGCCAGAAAAAGATGGAAGTTGAATATTTTCCCTCTGCCTTCAGTGGGCAATTGGGTGATTTCTACTTCCAGCTCGGAGAGAGGGTACAGGAAAAGAGTTGAGTGGGATAATGTAAAAATCTCCTAAAGGGGTAGCTTTTGAGGTAAGGCTTGAAAGTGGGTATTTGGTTGTCTCTTGCTATATAACAAAATTTAGTGGCTTTAAACAATATTTTCATCCCTCACTATTCTGCGGTTTGACTGGCCCATGAGATGCTGGCCAGGAGGAAGCTCAGCTGGGCGGAATGTCTCCGGAGGCTCACCCACATTTCCTGCATAAATGTGGCGTGAAGGCTGCGCTCAGCCAGGACGCTGGCTGAGGGGCCCTCAGTCTCCCCTCGTAGTCTCACGGTCCCTTTCCGTGTGGCCTCTGCAGCAGACATCTGGCCAGCTCAGGGCTCTCCGACGTGCACGATTCAGGCTCCCCACTGACACCGCGTCATGTCTGCCACATAGAATGGGTTCACGTGAGCCACAGGGCCAGGCCAGATTCACTGTAATCTGGGACTGTACAGGGGCATGAATCCTTGGAGGGGTGGTTAATTGGGGACCATCCTTGGAGGCTGGTGACAACAATGGGTAAGAAAAAGATGCTGGCATGTAGAAGGGTGAGCAGAGAAAAAAGCCTACATAAAAGCGTGGAGGTGCTGAAAATACAAAAGCACGGGTTAGTGTAAAGTGTACAGTTTGAAAAGAAGAATAAATGGACCCAAAGGTTTGAAAGGAGACAACGGTCGCAAGGCTGAGACCTGGAATGTCAGGCTTTGCGGTTTGAATTTAATTGTGTCCGGCAGTTGTCAAATCTAACTGTGCCACAGAATCTCCTGGGGACTGTGGAATGCCGGCTCCCCCCAAATCACCAGGGCTACGTCTTCATGAGACAGGGACAACACCATCTCAGCAGCGTGTCAGAGGGGAAAGGCAAGGTTAGAATTTCTTGAGAATCTGATGTTTGGCTGCAGAGGGGGAAGTCTTGCTTAGGTTTGGGTAAAAATCGCAACACAACCATCTAAGGTCAACAGCCAAGCATGGTAGGCAAAAGAGTTTTATAACTTTAAGGCACAGTCTGTTGATGCTTTCGTTGAAGAGTTGATAGCTATTTTGGGAAATTTCTACAGCGAATAATCAAAGTATTTGTCTAGGCAAGAATTTCTGGGAATAGTCAAATTTATGCTAATGAAGACAGTGGAATAGTAGCATCATGTTAATGTAGACAGTAAGCTCTGTGGAATGTAGGTAATTTGGTTCTCAGAACATTGTCAAAATACAGATTCTCAAAACTCATGTTCAAAAGTCCTTATTTGATGAACCCCCAGAACCTCTGTTCTTAACAGGCTTTGTTCAGAATCAATGCTATAACCTGAAGGGTGGCAGGGCCCACACACCTCCCCCAAATAGGCAGCTTCGGTATATTGCTCATTTTGAGCTAAAGGCACTTGAAAGACAGTAAATGCAGGGGGAAGCTTTCTCTGAACTCCCCTTATCTGCCAAAAGACACACCCTCCAAAAGGCACTCAACTGTTGTAAGTCCTCTCCTCCCTCAGAGTTTCATCAGCCAGGAGAGGTTGACTCGTAACACAGGAGAAGAGACTAGAACTCAGCTCCACAACTGGACAGCCTGTCATAAACGATCACACCCCCCATCTAGTCATCTTCTAAGGGCCCATTTGTCTTTCCTAAAAGTCATTCACTCTTCCTTACAGGGTCTACACACTCCCCATTCCTCTCCGTAGTAAACGTTATTTAAGCTCATTCTAAACCCATCTCTGAGTTACTCTTTTTCCCCTGGGTATCTCCTCTTTATACCTGTTAGAAGCTTCTGTTTTTGTCTTGTTAGCCTGCCTTTTATGACACGGGCCTCAGTTACGATCTCAGAAGGACAGAGGGAATTTATTTCTCCTCCTCCACAAAGTGCAGTGAACCGCTGCAGGTTTTTTGTCTATGTGTCTGCCCGGATCCCATCTGTGCTCCAGGAGATAGACGGGACAGACGGACGGGACACCTGTGTGGGGACTCTAAACAAGCATCCAAACTAGCATCCCAACAAGGTAGGATGGTATAAACTGCGAGCTTTGAGACATGGGTTAACTCAGCGATGCTGGCAAGGCTTTTCCTCATGGCTTTATGATTCTGGGTCTCCTCCAGGCTAATTTGCAGAGAACATGTGTATTCATCACCAGGTAAGGCAGACCCAGCAGACACCCTTGAGGACACATATCACAGGAAAGGCAGGGAGGCTCCATGAGGCAGGGATTCCCAGGCTCCTGTGGAAGCAGGGGAGCGGGACCTAGAAGCGCCTCGGAGCCTGCACATTCCTTGCTCAGTCCTTGGGTTTGCGTGGCTGGGTGGGAGTGGGGTGCACAGAGAGGAGAGGAGCAGTTGAGAGCTTCGACCCAAATCCCCATCAACTTGCATTCAGAGTGAGAAAGGCCCTAAGACCCCACCTGGAACTGGGCATCCCTGGGCCACCCCTGACCTGAACGGACAGCCCACCAGAGTAAAAGCCTGCCAGACCTCTCAGCCTGTCTGATCCCTAACAGTTGTGATCTCGGTTAAATGACTCCTTGTTCCTCTCCTTTCCCGCAAGCTCACAGGTGTTTACAAAAAGTTCACGGAGATTAAGTGTGTCATCCAAGGTCACAGGACCGCTAAGAACCAAGGCACTTCCCGCATCCAGGCTGCCAAACTCCAGCCCCCTCCTCCACACTCTGCTTTTCTTTTTCATGACTGTCTCTTCCTTTTTTTACAAGGAGCGTAATTTTTCCAGCAGCG